TGTATGTATATGTATATAGTCCGTCCTTGCATACTTTGATATACGTGTTAGCAATGAGGCAGGTGTGTTTGAGAACACACAACACATCGATAGTGCACCTGCATGAAATAATGGTGTATAGGAAATTGCGTATGTAGGTTCTTGTACAAGGTAGATGTGTGGCGAATGTTCAGAAGTGAGTTTCGTTGTATCAATACGTACAATCATATTAGTACACACGGGAGTTTGCATAGACAGTTGCAATAGAAATGCATATACAGTCGTGATAGAAGGGGGCATACACATTCGTGATCGGAAGAAGCATAGACTGTCTTGATAGTATTTGGGATAAACATTCATGTCTTTATCCTTCACGTGTATCCTTAACGATAAGTACGCTCAGTTGTTTATTCTTTATGATGTAGTATATCATTATTTATTTATTCGGTTTCAGTCCTTAGACACGCTTAAAATTTGGAATATATATAAATACACACATATATGTACTACGACTTTTCGAAACAGTCTTAAATTTGTAAATACGCAGGATCTATGCTTCCATATATAATGCGCTATAGCTCTACTTATGGTGCCACGGTCTCATCTCACAGACTTCCAGAAGCAAAGACCTACTCTACTGGGCTCTGGTTCTGGTACACCAACTGGCGCTCAAGAATAACATCCGCCCCACTATTATCGAACATGACGGATTGAGACTCCTTGTAAAGACAACACGTGCCTCGCAAGGTCACAACCACATGCAAAAGTTATGTCTGCACTCGCTAGTGCTGCTGTGCTCTACCGGTACTAAAGCGGCCAGCATTGATGCACTGCGCACCGTGGTGGATGAGGGGATTCTGGCACCCGCGGCTGTGTGTCTGAAAGCAGGTAGGCCCTCAGACGTACCAATTTTCTATTAGGGAACACACTCGTGTATGCGAGTATCCGTATCGTTGAAACAATTGAAGTGAGACTGTGTAGGCGTATAATGAGCATATATATATATATAAATGTATATATATACATATATATATACATATATATACATAATAT